GACCCCCGCAGACTCAGTAACTCGAAGCCAGAATTGAGTTACTCTCAGAATCCAGTGCGGAGCACCCGTCAGCCCAAACCCCGGCTCGGAGTGGGGTCACATGATTTTAGTCCTGAGCCCCTCAAGTTCTGCTGGAGGCCGCTGTGGCCACCCTGATGGCCCTGGACACCCAGAACTGTCACATGGAGGACGCCCAGGTCGGTGCCATCCTGATCGCTGCCCTCGGTCACCGTCAGCTCCCAGCTCACTGTTTTTGGCTTCTGGGAGAACGACACCTCCACGTCTGCCCTGCTGGGCCACTCTGCCAGCCGGGGCCACCGAGGTCTGGAGTGGCAGTGTCCCTGGCCCCTCTGGAGAGCTGTGTGGACGTGAGTGGCAGCCACAGGGACGTCAGCTCGGCTTTGTGCTGGGCTCATGGATACCCTGAGGGCCGTAAGGCAGCTAAACATGGCCACCCAGTGCCGATCTCTGCCGTGTCCTTCCACCAACTCCCGTGTCACCCAGAGCCCTCCGCGTGGCTGTCAGGCACGGGGCTAGTTGAGTGCCCATGTCCCATGGTTTCTTCCGGGCACCTGGAAGTGGCAGCCAGGGCACAGCGGTCTCACCTGGGAGCAGAGAACATGTGCGTGGCTCTCTGCCCCTGCTCAGAGCATTTAGGAAAAGACCAGCAATGCGGTGGGGGGGGTGAGGACGCACATGTCCTGTGCAATCAGAGATACAAAGCCCTTATTTATAGAAGTGGTCGTCCTCCCGAGGTCTCTGGCTGCGTGTTCAGAAGAAACGATCAGAAATGAATTGGCAATGGACACAAACCCTCCCTTCACCTCCACAGCCCACGAGCCCAGAGTCCAGGCTAAATGCCTGGGAATCTCTGTGACTGTGTGGGAAATCGCCCCCTGGCTTCTAAAGAGACTCCAGTCCCATGACTCGTGAGATCCAAACGCAGTCGCGCCCTTCTGCTCCTCCCCGCCGCTCCCCGGCCACAGCCCTCCAGCACTCGCGGGCACCAGTCAGCTGTCACCCATAGGGGGAGCCCAGCCTCTTTCCAGGGCCCAGGATTTTGGGCATAGCAGAGAATGGCTGGGTATCCTGTTTTTGACAGGACCAAAGCCACGCATGGTGGCGCATGCCTGTAATCCCAGCACTTGGGAGGCTGAGGCAGGAGGATCACTGCGAGTTCGAGGCCGGCCTGGGCTACAAAGTGAGCTTAAGGCCAGCCTGAACTGCATAGTGAGACTCTGTCTCAATAAATAAATAAATAAAGAGAGGACCAAGAGGAAGACAAGAACAAGGAGGAAATGAGGACATGTCACTGTCTATGTGACCGTATTCCAGAGTCCTCGGAAGCGTTTGATGAACACCTGTGAAAAGAGCTCCAATTACTGGCCATGGTGGTGCATGCTTGTTGTCCCAGCACTCAGGAGGCTGAGGCAGAAGGATCACCATCAATTCAAGGCCAGCCTGAACTACACAGTAAGACCTTGTCTAAAAAAAAAGAGAGAGAGAGAGGAAAAGAAAAGAAAGAGAGGGCTCCAATAGAAGGATGAATGTTCCTCTTGTGGGCTAATGCAATTTATGGTAAAACACACATGAGCCAGGCATAGTGGCACACACCTGGAATCCCAGCACTTGGTAAGCTGAAACAAGTGGATCACTGTGAGTTTGAGGCCAACCTGAACTGCATAATGAGATCCTGTCTCAAAAACATAAACAAACAAAACAAAAGCACACATGGGTGGCGTAAAGGATCTAAACTATTCTATTCTTTTTTTTTTTTTTGTCTTTATTAGACAGGGTCTTCCTGTGCAGTTCAGGCTGGACTTGAGCTCACTTTGTAGCCCTGGCTAGTCTCAAACTTGCAATGATCCCTCTGCCTCAGCCTCCTAAGAGCTGGGATTACAGGTGTGTGACACCAATCCCGGCTTGTCTTGTTCTTATGTCTGTCATTTTATCTTGCTGAGGGAGTCCCTACAAGACAACGTACTCCTCCTGGGTCTTTTTTTCTTTTTGAGACAGCGTCTCATTATGCAGTTCATGCTGGTCTTCAACTCAGCTTGTAGCCCAGGCTGGCCTGGATCTTGTAGCAATCCTCCTGCCTCAGCCTGCCGAGTGCTGGGATGACAGGTGTGTACCACCAGCCTAACCCCAATCTTTCTGTACATTGATTTTCTTCCACATGTGGTAGTAAAGCAGTTTTCAATGAGAAATCCCTGGCCGAACCTCCTTTCTCTTACACAGCCAGCTGAGGTAGAAGTGTGGTAAAGGATTTTGTTCCCTGTGGGTAGACATAGTACCCTGGACACACACATGTGCGCGCGCGCGTGCACACACACACACACACACACACACACACACACACACACACACAGTAAGCAGAGGTTTCCCTTTAAAACTTGCTGAGTAGATCCTTTCTGAAATATTCAACTTTCTGGAGCCAAGTGAAACCTGAATTCCCTCCCTGCCTGCAAGGACACTATCCCTGTGGCCGAATTGCCACTATCTATTTGGTGGCTCTTCCCTTCCCATTTTAAAAATTTTTTTAGTAGGTTGAGACAGTCTCACTATGTAGTCCAAGCTGGCCTCCAACTTGTGGCTATCCTCCTGCCTCAGCCTCCCGAGTGCTGGTATTACAGTATGTGCTACCCTGTCGGCCCCCATTTTAATTTCTAAACTCTGCCCTGGCAGCAGTCTCAAACTTGCCCCCTGGCCTTTCCTGAAAATCCCAAAGGGTATAGGTTGTCCTGGGTCACTGAAGCCAGGCCCACAAGCCAGGGCCCCACCTTCTCACTGTGGTACTGGCCTGATGCCTCTGACTTGAGGCTTGAGGACAAGGCCACCATCATGGTGCCTTTTTTCCTCCCTGACAGGGCCACCTGTGTTAGGAATAGTTAAGTGTAATGGCAGTCAGAGTGTGGTGGCCTGAACCTGTTCTCCCAGCTCTGGGAGGCTGAGGCATGAGGATCAGGGGTTTAGCCTGAGCTATAGATCAAGTTCCAGGCCAGACTGGGCAACATAGCAAGGCCTAACCTAAAAAAAAAAAAAAAAGGCCAGTGATGTTCTATATACAAAGATTTGCCCTGTTTTTGGGGCTGGATGACATCACTGTCTTCATAAAATTTGTTAATTTCCAAACTGGGTGTGGTAGCCCACACCTGTAATCCTAGCACTTGGGAGGCTAAGGCAGGAGGATCACCAAGAGTTTGAGGCCAGCCTAGATTGCATAGCGGATTCAAGGCCAGTCTGGAATACATAGCTAGACCCTGCCTCAAAAAACCAAAAATAAATAAATAAGAAAAATAGTTTAACTTTCAAACATTTTTCTTTCTCTTCGTTTTTATTCTTTATTCTTTGAATACTCGCGCTTTCTTCAGATCCTATAAATCTTACATAAATCTTTCATCTTTTTTGGTTTTATTGACACAGCATTTTACTATGTTAACCCTCACCTTGAATTTACAATGGAGCCCAAGATGGATTCAAACTTGCAATCCTTGGGGCTGGGGATATAGCACAGTGGCATAAATGCCTGCCTGGAAAGCACAAGGTCCTGAGTTCAATTCCTGGTACCAAAAAAAAAAAGAAAAACAACAGAAAAACTTCCAATCCTGGTGCCTCAGGCTGGAGTGCTGACATGATAGGTGTGGGCCACCATGCCCAAAACTCAAATATTTTAATGTTTTTTTTTCCTCAGGTATGAGGCTTCAACCCAGTGTGTTCTCACTGAGCTACATTTCAGTCATTTTACACATTTTTATTTTGAGACAGAATGCACCGTAATCCTAGTACTGGGGAGGCTGAGGCAGGAGGATCATTTTGAGTTCAAGCCCTGCTGGAACTACAGAGTCAAACCGTCTCAAAAGATTTCTTCTAGTTCATATTATCACAGTAGTCCTCTCATACAGTTGCTGGATTTTTTTTTTTTTAAATTTTTTGAGACAGGGTCTCACTATGCAGTTCAGACTGGCCTTGAGCTCACTTTGTAGCCCAGGCTGGTCTCTAACTCGCGACGATTCTCCTGCCTCAGCTTCCCAAGTGCTGGGATTACAAGCGTGTGCCACCATGCCCGGCCAGTTGCTGGACTGAGTGTCGATGAGGGGAAGCCCTCACGTCGGAGCCCGGCAGAGAATGAACCCTCCACGAACTCGGTCTGAGATGAACGGGGCCTGTCTGATGTTGTAAGAGGTGCCTCAGGCCTCACACATTTCTCCGCGCAGGTCTGTGTCGGTCTTGTCATCACTGAACGACAGGAGTTGGGGGGTGGCAAAGGCCTCTGCAGATCTCCTTGCCAAATGGATCCAGTGCCTGCTCCTGGACCCAGTGAAACTGAGGCGCCTCATGGAGAGCCAGGGGGCGCCCTGGGACGTGGGTGTCACCCAGCAGCCTGCCCTTCCACAAAACCTGGGGTCTCACCAAGACGCGATGGGGCAATGGGGAAAGCCCTATTTATTGAGCACCTACTGTATGCTAGGTTCTGGATACAGCAGTAAACAAGATAGACAAAAGGTGGGCACTGGCAGCCCCCCAGGTCAGGTGGGGACGCACGGACCACGCGGGGACACTCGTGACGTCATCGAGAAAGCCAGGTCGAAAGGTAGTCCTGGCAGGTGAGGCTGCCGTGGGGGGCTTGGGGAGAGGGTTATTCATTCCTTCCATAAATGTACCTGCGGCGCCCCGCGTGTGCCCTGCACCCCGTGCAGACGAAACACAGCCCTTTCCTTCTCCGTATATTTAAGGCAGACAGAGCAACAGGAAAAGGACAAATAAATAACAAGGTGGTTGCAGGCCGGGCTGACGGCTGGGAGGGTGCCCGGGGGCGGGGGCGCGTCTGCACTCGCCGCCACCTCCTCCCCCGCACTGTGCTGAAGAGGTCACCGCGCTAGTGACGAGCGCGTCCCCGCAAGCCAGGGCTCGCGCCGCCCAGCCCCCTTCGGCGCATCGCACGGCGCCCCCTGGCGGGAGTCCTGGACAACGCAAGCAGCGCGCGAGGAAGGGGGAGGGGGCGCCGCGCACGCGCACGCGCACTGGCCGGCGGCGCGCGCCGAGCGGGGGGCGCCGCGCGGTGCAGCCACGATGGAAGGGGGTGCGTACGGAGCTGGTAAAGCCGGGGGCGCCTTCGACCCCTACACCCTGGTCCGGCAGCCACACACCATCCTGCGTGTCGTGTCTTGGGTAAGCACGGGCGGGCGGCCGTGGTGGGGTGTGGGTGAGAGCGGCGCACCCCGACACCCTGTCACCCTCACGCCTCGACCCCAGGGGCGCGGCAGCCGGCGGAGAGGGGCTGTGTCCGCGAACCCCCGTGAGCTGCTCCCCCTCCCCGGGCCCCAGCGAGGAGTGCCCGCTCCCGGACACCCCCGTTTCCCGGGAGACCCCCCATTCGCGCGTCTCGCACCCCGCCGCCGTGACCCCCAGGCCGCGAGTGTGCAGCTGCCGGCTCCGCTGCGCGCGGCTGTGGGGACGTAGCCCGGGCTCAGGTGGCCTTGGGGGCGCCGATCAGGGCGTGGGTCATCTCACGCCGCGGACGTTGGAGAGGACAGGGTAGGGAACCCGGTCTGTGGGGTTGAGAGCCCCAAAGGTGGCAGCGAGGAGCAGGAGCCTGAAACCTGGCTTCCTCCGGGAGCTGCATCTCCTTCGCCGCGTGACCTTGGGCTGGGAACCACCCAGGAAACAGTCTCGGGGAGCGAGGAATTCATTTCTGAGGTGGAGAGCGCCACCTCCGCTGCCATGCCTCAGTTTCCCGATTTACAGCGATGGTGGGAGGAGCCTCCAAAGGCCCCGTGGGCTCCGACCTTTCCTGAATCCGGGGCAGCCCCTCCCCCAGCAGGGACCTGGACGCCGGTGCGCGGTGTGGGAGGACGGCCCCCCTCAGGCGAGGAGCACTGAGGCCCCTGAGGCCCTGTCAGGACCTGCAGGACGCCCAGCGCGCCCAGTGCCAAGCCTGGGCCGGGGCTGTGACAGAGAGAGCAGAGAGGAAGGGTCCAGGTGGCTTGGGCAGCACCTGGCAAAGAAAGCCCGGTTGGCACTCAGTCCTGATGGGCCCGGACTGGAAGGATCTGGACTGAGACCCTGGGCAGGGACAGTCAGGAACCCTGTGTAGCTACACCTGCAGCCGGCTTGGTGGCTGGGTAGGACAGCTTGGGGTGTGTGTTTTGTTTTTTGTATTTGTTTTCAGTGCTGGGGTTTCAACTCAAGGCCTTCCCCAGCCCTTTTTAGTTTTTATTTTCTATTTGCAGACAGGTTCTTGCTAAGACATTAAGTTGCTCAGGCTGAGCTTAAACTTTCTATCCTCCTGCCTCATTCCCAGAGTCCAGAGATCCACCAGGCCAGCTTGTGTATTTACCTCTGATCTCCCAGAGCAGAAGGGAGCTAGCCTTTTCTTTTTTTTTTATTGTGGGGGGGGCATGTCTTCTTGTTGTCATTGTTATTATTTTATTTTTTGAGATAGAGTCTGGGTATGTAGTGCAGGCTGGCCTTGAACTCACTATGTAGCCTAGGCTGGCCTTGAACTTGCAGCAATCCTCCTGCCTCAGCCTCCCGAGTACTGGAATTACAGGTGAGTGCCACCATGCCTGGCTTGAGCTATGTTTTCTTTGTCTAAAAAAGTTACACCGCTCCTGGGACTGCAGGAAGGGTGTCCAGGTTTAAATGCCCACCAGATGGGTAGCACTTTTCGGTACGGAGGATACAGGGAAGCCTGGCTCTGTTAGTGTTTGTGTCCCTGCACCGCGGGTACATCCATGAGGGCTTGTGGCACCAAATTTGTTTCTCGGTGACAGTCTCCCACTCCCAGAGTCCCTGGAGCACCTGCCCTGTTGTAGGGGCTGCTGTGTAACTGCTCAGGTTTGCCCTCCTGAAGTCCCCGGCCTGGGAAGGTGAAGCCGCTGGTTTTTGAGGGGGCGTGGGTGCCATCAGTCTGCTTGGGTCATTGCTGCCTGTGATGGCTTCATTTAGCAGAGCTCTATTGAGTCTGCCAGGCCCTGAGGGAAGGCGGCATGACTCAGGCACAGCCCTGGTACTCAGGGAGCCAGATGCCCCCAGGCAGAGCTGTGAGAGTCAGGAGGGGTCTCCCTGCCTGGAATGGGAGGAGCTGCATGGAGCAGGGGAAGACCCATTAGGCCTGGCCGAGGGAGGCTACCCTTGTGCACATCAGGAAGAATGGAGGACATGGCAAGCAGGGAAAAGAGCGCACAGACCCCACCTAGGTCCCCAAGCTTGCACTGAAGGAATTGAGGCTTTCAGAGGCTGAGCAATTGGCTGTAGGTAGCTGAGCATAAAAGTGTCATGCAAGCAGTAGAACCCAGGTCTCCTGTCCCCAAAGCAGGGAGAGTGCAGGATCCTGAGACTTCAGGATTGGAAAGGACAGAAGCTGGCCACATCCAACGCCCATGTCCCCATCCCTCACAGCCCCGCCCACACCTGCACACAGGTGCTCTCCGCCTTTATCTGAGCAGAGGCATCTGATGCAGCTCACTGTCACCTTACAGAACAGAGAAGCTTTACATAAAATTTCGTTAAAGCAATACCTGCTGATTACTGGGAAATACATAAATCGCATGTGGTATTTGTGTGATAACATGAACATGCTGAATTCCACCGAACTGTGCCCTTAAAACTGTGGTGATAAGGCTGGGAGTGAGGAAAACAAACCGAAAAAGCAAATTTCATGCTATATGTATTTTACCATAATGGAGAAAATTGGTGAGGAGATCACAGGTGATACTGCCATTTAGGAAGGGCTGCAGTTAATACAATACTGTGTCTCTTCACGTCATTTTTTAAAAATTTAGAACTGGCATGGTGACACACAACTGTAATCCCAGCACTCTTCGAGGCTGAAGCCGGAGGATCAAAAATTCAAGCTCAGCCTGGACAACTTAGCAACTTAGTGAGACCCTGTCTCAAAACACAAAAAAGGCTGCTGGTGAACCTCAGTGCAAAAGCCCTGGGTTCATTCCCCATAACACACACACACACACACACACACACACACACACACACACACACGGCGGGCAATGGGCTTCATGAAGCCTGAACTCCAAGTATGGGTGACTAAATCACCCTGATTTGCTGGAACTTTCCTGGCTTTAACATTGAAAATCCTGTATGAGCTCCTCCATCCTGCCCAGACCAGGAATGGGTACCCTCTCCAGATCCTGGAGGGAAGGGCGCCACCAACATGTGCATGTGAACTTGTGACTTTGTACAATTTCTGCAAGAAAGATCTTTTTCTGGTTTTTTAAAAGCTGATGGGCCTCACTAGACCTGCACCCACCCTGGGCCCTGAGCCCCAAGCCCCTTAGCCTGGCTGGCAGGAACAGGTTCTCCCAGAAGCAGCTTAAGCCTTGACGGAGGCCACCTCGGCCCTGTGTCACTGCTTTGCCTGGGCTGTGCCAGGCCAGATCTGAGCTGAGTTGGGGTGGCTGAACTGGCACACTGACGAGGCCAGGCTGCCCTGACCCAGGTTTTGGGGAGATGAGGCTGTCCTGGCTGGGAGATTGGCTGCCACTCCTGCCCCTTTCCCCAGGCAGTGGCTGTGACCTTCAGCAAGTGTCACCTCCTCACCCCAGTCCCTTGGTCTCCCCATTTGAACCAGGAGACTAGGATATCCATCCGCTGTGCAGCTGTGACCTGTCTGTGGTGACTCAGGTTGACCTGGAGCCAGAGGGGACGATGCAGTCACAACAGGAGCTGCGCTGATTGAATTCAAAGGCCGCCTTTTATTTGGCGGTTGTGTTCTCATTTTGTGGGCTGATGACCTGTGGAGAGAGGATCAGTGCTGGTTCATAAGAGGGTTTTCAAAAACTTGTTTTGGCAAAATAAAGTGAAAACATGTTAGAAATTTTGCCACTGTCAGAATTTATTGTTGTTATTTTGGTGGGGGGGCCTTATGCATGCTAAGCACCCGCTCTATACTGAGCTATACTCCTACCCCCCAGGGTTGGTCTCTTAAGGGTTTTATAAGTGGGCAAGTATCCTTGTGCCCATCTTACAGATGACAGAAGCAAGGCTCGGCCCGTAAGGTGACTGCCACTGGCCCGAGACCTGAGACTGTTGGAGTCACAATTGGAATCTTGTCTGCAGGGTGCCTATGGCCACCTTGTGGAGCTTGGTGGGGCCCTGGGCAGGTGTCCTGGCTGCAGGTATTTGGTTGTCCCTTTTGGCATTTGTCACTGACCATCTTGGAACCCTCCAGCCTCTCTGCCTGCCAGGCCGTCTGCTGGGCTGCTCCCTTGTGTCTGGGATGGGGTCAGCTGCCAAGAGGCCTGCGGGAGGTGTCGGCCTGGCCTGAGGGCTTCACACTTGTGCCTTGGGCAGTTCCTCAGGGAGGGGCATCTGGGGGTTTAGGGAGCTTAGAGAACCTGGGGTTTAGCACGGAGAACGGGACCACTGTGGGAGACCTTGGAAGCCCCACCCGCAGACTCACTTTCCTCATCTGTGGCATGGGGTTGGATGCCTGGGTTTGGGAGGCCTTGAAGGTTGGAAGCTCTTCCTCAAAGGTTCTGTGATCCCCTCTTTAGCTGGAAGCTGGCGAATTGCTGGCATGGCTGGCGCCACAGCCTCGGGCTGAGGAAGGAAGTCCCTAGCTACATGCGGGAGGCCACCTGACCTGCTAGCGGAGCTCTTAGGCCTGCCCGAGCCTGGGGGAGAAAGAACAAAGGCTAGGAGGAGGAGGGGGAGAGGAGGAAAAGCCTGGAGGAGGGGTGGGAGCCAGGAGAGGCAGATGGCAGGGCGGTTGGAGGACTCACGCTTGGCGCCCAAACTTTGGCACCCAGACCGGAAGAACCAGCTGTCCAGTGGGAGGGGAGGCAGGCCGGGTGTGGGGAGCAGGTCGTGGCAAGTGCCTTTTGGCAGCCCCCGGTGGTCCTGCCCACCCGTGTGGCTTGAGCAAAATGCCAGTGCCATCTGTGCCTCAGTTTCCCCGTCTGTTAGGGAAAGGCAGAGCTGGATTGGGCTGGTGGCTCCCAACCCTTCCACCCTCAGGGAACCCCACTTGTGTTCCTAGCAGCTCCAGGTAGGGGCTTTTAAATTTGGCTGTGTAAAGAAGCTACACCAAGAACTACAGCCTAGCTGGGGTGGGGGTGCCCACCTGTAATCCCTGTACTCTGGGAGGCTGAGGCAGGAGGACTGCAAGTTCAAGTCTACCTGGGGAATTTAGTGAAACCCTGTCTCAG